ATTTTTAACTATTTCATAAGTTACAATCATCTCCCAGATCTGCAGTGAAGATTAGGCAAGTTATTTTAACTAGTACCTAGTACGCTATAGCTTGTTTGGCTGTCAGGGAACCAACTGTGGTCCCAGGTGCTGTACTCGCTGAACCCACAGTGTTCCTATTCCCAAACTGTGTCAGGGGAAAAAGACTGTAGCTGTAGGCTTACTGGTAACTATAGTAGATAGTTACTTATTTGTTTAGTGTCTATTGACAGACTAGAGTATTTCACATCTTTTACAGAGGTGCCATTTTGCAACTGCCATAGATAAGATGTCCTCTTCAGAATAGTGCTTATAAGCAACTATAACATAAAAAGAAAAAAGAACCAGTGACATGAGAGGTATAAACAACCAGTCCCCTTTTGAATACTATGGATAACCTCATTACACTCGCACAAAGCCTGGATTTTGAAATGTTACTTTACCCTGACCTACAGCAGGGTCAAGAGCAGTCTCCTTGCCCCTAAGCCCAAGCAGCTAAAACTGTCCCTGTCAGTTTTGACCTCTCTCAGTGTCTTATTGTAATGAAATGGCCTCTCTTCTCTTAGTCCCACTTGATTCTTTGAATCCAGGTATCCAGCTCCTACATGTAATGAAACACATCATCTTTTGGACTGAACGTGCATTTAACATTGGGCAATTCCCAAGGTGAGTTTTGACTGGGTACCTAACCACACCCCCGTAGGTTGTGCTGGAAGTTTACACAAAGTTAGTTGCCTTCAGATAAACTACAAAGCAGAAATTAGCTTAGAAGTATTAGATAGCTTTTAAAAACTGGACCAATTAACAAGCTGATCCATCTACCAGCTACCTTACCAGGAAGGCTAAGAGATGCACAAGATTAAATGACTAGCTTGGAGCTATACATAGTAAGTTAATCCTGAGACAGAAATAAGTCAGGAACTTGTTTTAAACTCTTGACTTAATTCATCTCAGCCTACTGTGCTTGACTACTGCAAAACACACAGGGCCAGAAGATAACCTGATTCAGCACACCTCTGGAAATACTACATCAAATGTCTATGATCCAAAACCATATAGTAAATCTACAGAGACGAATTCTTGTTCAAGTAACCAAAAATGAAGAATAATTTCACTGAAGGAGCACTGCAACTGTAAACTAAGATCAAAAGAGGTTCTTGCCCCCATGCCAAGCATGCTAGTGTGTGTGTGCGCTTACCCAAATGATCGTTATGCAACTGCCAGATACAATTCAGAGACTCTGGGACTGTATGGTGCCAACGGGCTGTAGTAGTCGGGAAGACGTTTCTGAAACACTGATGCCATGATGACTGGTGTCTATAATTTCTATTCAGCAGGCACTGGGTGCTGGGGAATACATGCATCAACCTACGGCACCACATGCTGAGGGAATTCAAAGAGGGAGAGAATATCATTACAGTGGGTGGTTCTGCGTTACGACTGATCTATTCTAAAGAAGAACCTAGAGACCCCAATCATGGGTTGACATCCACATATACTGGGTGCCATACACGCATGAAAAGATGGTGCCAGCCCCAAAGGGTTTTCATTCTCTTAGTGTTAATTTCTGTTCCAGGGCTGTGGTGGTGCGGGTGCTAAGACACATGGATGATAGGTTGCAAGTTTGAGGCCACAGCAGAAGCACTTATCGTGTGGCCCTGTCTGATTCCAACAAATCTTTAAACTCTGTAATACCTTGTCACACAAGGGCACAAGAAAGGAAAAGCAGTTTCTCTTCCCTACACATTTGTTTCTCATCTTCCTGGTTAGTCAGAAACGTGAGAACACTTGTACAGACCCTGGCAGCTTGTCCTGAGTAGCAATCATCTCGTACAGTAAGAAGTGGTTGAATATACTTTTGTTGCACTTAAATGCATACCAAATAGCCTTATTGCTGAGTTCTGAACATGGCCAACACCATCACCTAGATACTTTTCTCAATTATAGCACAACAGTGCTGTTTCCAAGCTAAACCAGACTCTACTCAGCTGTTTCACAGTACCTGAAATCCATATCTGCATTATTATTAAAACACTGACAAACCATCTGTAACAGCAGTATCTGGATGTCTTTTGCCATGGCTTTTATCAACTGTACTAGAATAACATTAAGTTGGGAGGAATCCCCAATATAAAGGAGAAAAAGAATATCAGATAGGAAGAATTGTGTGACCTTGTAACCTGCAGCAATAAAAATAGCATGAAATTTAATTCTATATTTACTTGACTAAAACAAGGTTCCCCCCACCAATCATCATGGGGAAAAAACCTTCGTCTCAGATTTCTATTGAAAGCTCGGGGGAAGGGGCACAGGGGACTGGTGGCTGCTGCAGCTCTAACCCCGGCCCTGAGTTTGGATCTGGGCCAGCGTCTAGACCAGGAATAGGGCAACCCCTGGCACAAGAGCCAGTGTGTGACACTCAAAAGCATTTTGCTTGGCACAGGCACTTTGGGGCAGATGGAAGGGAAGGGGCCGGGTCTGCATTGCCACAGTAGGGATCAGGCCTCTCATGGCTTCCCCACCCTCTGCCCCGGCATGCCAACATCTTACACATCAAGGTCACGGGTTTTTTTTGGCATTCTGCTCAAAAACATTGCTGACCCCTGGTCTAGACCTTGGTGGTCACTGGTCCTATTTTATACTGGACCATCCTGTTTTTAAAACCTTTGTCCCCTGTCTATTTCTGAATGAGGAATGACTTGCAAGAAGTCCTGTTTTTAGTTCGTTGGTGGAAACACACGTCAATTATTTGTCCTCATAATTCTATTGGCTGTGCCTAGAGATAGGGCACTGCACAGCAAGGAAGACCAGGGTTCTGAGCCAGCTAGGGAGGGAGGGAGGTGGCCTTTTTGTGGTGGTCCCACCCCTTGCTGCTGATTGGCTAAGGGGTCCATGTGGCTGCACCCACTGCTGCTGATTGGCTGAGGCAGTGGCCCTGCCCCTCACTGCTGAATGGCCAAGGTGGGCAGTGGTCTCACCCCTCACTGCTGACTGGCTGATGGGGATGGTGGCCCCACCCCTCACCAAGGTGATGTCCTGTATTCTGGGGATGCATCAGTGGCCACCCTACTCAGAACTACAGTGGCTCCCTGCCCGCCTCCCTCCCTCACTCGCCCTCTGCAGCTTCTGCCCCCTCCCTCCCCTTACTGTCACAAGCAGCTCAGCTCTGGTTCAGGCTGGATCCCCTCCTGGCACAGAGCACATGGAACACTGTCACCTGCCGGGCCAATGAGCAGCACTGATGCTGCTGCGTGGCTGGCAGAGGCTGCACTTCTACAGGCTGAGTTGTGGGAATGGTAGGGGGGCAGAGGTTTTGGGGAGCTGGGGGTGGGGAAGTACAGGTGGCAGGGGAGACAGGAAGGCTTCACAGGGAAGAAGTGTGTGTGGGGTGGGGGAGAAGAGGGCAAGGAGGCTGCCCGACATCCCCAGTCACTACTTTCCTTGCTGCAGCAGCGGGGCAGGGGGGTGAATTCTTTAATTATAGCACATTTATACATTTTCCATGTATAGAATCTAAGTATTGTGGGGGTCATCTTAAATTCAAGGTCACCTTAGATTTGAGTAAATGCAGTAATATGAACTGCAGGGTCATAGATTTATAGATTAACAGCAATTTTTTATATAATCTGGGAGTTAATTAGTTGGACATTTGGAAACAGAAGATGAGGCCCCAAGCATATTAAGTTTACCCCACCACAAGTATGAACAACAGATGTGATATAGCTGCGAAACAAGCAAACGCAAACCTAGGATGCTCCAGGCATAGGATTTCCATCATAAGTAGGGGGGTATTAATACCATTATACAGAGCACATATGCATGTATTTCAGAGAAAGTTCCATAATACTGGTCACCCCCTGAACATATCAGGGAGGTAAACGAAAGATAGAGAAATAGCTATTTAAAATGAAGAATGATACAGGCACAAAAGTAAGTGAGTATAAACTGGACATAACTATGAGTATATTCAGGTTGGAAACAAAAAGGTTCCCAACCATCAGACCAGTCAGGTTCTGGAACAGATGTTCAACAGGAATAGGGATGGCAAAAAAGCCTATCATCTAAGGAAGGAACTTGGTAACTTCCAGGAAGGACTGTATGGATGTAGAGGCCTGCAAACAAGGGACTTGCTTCAGTGACTGAGGAGCTCCCTAGGGTTGCTTCTAAGGATACGGATACTTGGAAATAAAACTGTGTCAAAGGGGAGACAATCAGAGAGTGATTTTCCCACTGTGTCATTTTTATTTTGAGTTTCCTGCCTCAACATGTATAGAAAAATTTACCACAAGGTAAAAAGGCACTAATTTGTTGTCCCCTAATTCTTATGAATATCATTACGTTTCCCACTCCTGATACCTCCAGTAACTAAATTCTCTGTTTTCTTCATCCTTGCACTGGGATATCTTATTACTTAGAAAGTAGAGCAGATTGCCCAATGTTTTTAAAATGGGGCTGACTATATACCAGGTTTTAAAAAATGGATTACATAATAAACTGAACTTAAATACTTATTATCCAAAAAAAACCAGTCAGAGGTTAAGCAGAGAACAGAGCTCAGCAGATCTAAATTCTCCTCCCTTGCTTTGGCTGCAAGGAAGTACTCCCTCCTCCAAAAAAAATACTATATCAGATTGGTACTCTGGGTAGCTAGCTAGTTAGTTCTTAAGAGCTAGGCAGTACAGGCAGTCCTTGACTTTCAACATTTCAAGTTATGTTTTGCACTTCCAACTTTTATAAATTGACACACTGTTTCAACTTTACAACGCCAGTTCTGATTTACAATGCTTGATCTGATGCAATGCCATCCCAGCGAACAAGTTCACTGCATCACGTATCTCCGTGGAAAACATCTGTCCAAACTCCTTAGACGCTTTCTTTAAGAAAGCAGCCAAGACTCCAGAAAAACCCTTCAAAAAGTCCAACCAAGAGCCCTGCAAAGAGTCCAGTAAAGTCACCTCAAAGGACTTCTTCCAAATCAATATGATTGCTATATA